ATATATATAGCTATATATATATACATATATATACACATACATATATATATATGCATGATGGATTAAAATATATGCATGCAAGCTGTGTGTACATACACTCGAAATAGGGAATTGTATGTGAAACAGGAAAAGCGAAAAGCATGTTTAAATGCATGCATGCATTTGGCGTGCAAAAATGCACTTAAAGAAAAATTAATTGAATATTTCCGCGACTTCCAGGCCTGCATGCAAATAAAAAGGGAATTTATTGGCATTACAATGCATGCAAAATGCATGCAAAATGCATGCAAAATGCATGCAAAATGCATGCAAAATGCGTGCAAAATGCATGCGAAAGTAAAAAATCAATTTTCCTCTTTTTGCACTAAATGCATTTGCACTCATGTTCGTGAGGTGTATGTACAGCGCTGCATACAAAGCAACAGTAACTGCATGCAATTTGTTGTTGCATGCATGCAATTTGTTGTTGCATGCATGCAATTTGTTGTTGCATGCATGCAATTTGTTGTTGCATGCATGCAATTTGTTGTTGCATGCATGCAATTTGTTGTTGCATGCATGCAATTTGTTGTTGCATGCATGCAATTTGTTGTTGCATGCATGCAATTTGTTGTTGCATGCATGCAATTCATTTTAAAACAATTAACACCCGGCACATTTTCCCACTAGTTCCTATTTCCTGGAACCTCCAGAAGGCAGCAGCAGCAGCAGCAGCAGCAGCATAAACCCTAAACCCTAAACTCTAAACCCCAAGCCCTGGATTCCCGCCCTTACCCCCTGACGACGCGCTAAGGCCTAAACAGCCCCAAACCCTAGCCCGCAAGCCCTAAACCCCAAACCCCAAGCCCCAAACCCTAAACCCTAAACTCTAAACCCCAAACCCTAAACCCCAAACCCCAAACCCTAACCCCAAACCCTAAACCCTAAACCCCAAACCCTAAACCCCAAACCCTAAACATCAAACCCTAAACTCCAAACCCCAAACCCCAAACCCTAAACCCTAAACCCTAAACCCTCACTCGCAGACGACGTGGCCGCAGGAGAGGAGCCTGGGAGGGTTTGTCTTGGAGGTTTCTTCTTTGCTGACAGCACAAGTAATTGAAGAGTGAAAAGACAAAGAAGGGTTTAGCTCCAGTTCGAGGGGGAGCCGCCCGCCCTGCAGCAAGCAGCAGCAGCTGCTGCTGCCCCCGCAGCCCCAGCACGCAGCAGGCTGCTGCTGCAGCAGCGAGCGCCGCCGCCGCAAACTGCTGCTGCTGCTGCTGCTGCTGCTGCTCGGCACTGTGGGCTCCAGCCCGAGCGCTGGGGAGCCCCGCAGACTCGACAGCAAAACTTGGTAGGTTTCTCTTTCGCTGCCTTGCTGCGGCTGCAGCTGCTGCAGCGCCAGCAGCTGCTGCTGCTGCTGCTGCTGCTGGTGCTGCTGCTGGTGCTGCTCCGACATGCGCCGCCGCACCCGAGCTGTCCAGACTCCCAGCTGCTGCTGCCCCGAAGAAGCAGACCGCAGCCGCTGCTCTGCTGCAGCACCAGCAGCAGAAGGTGGCAGCTGCAGAAAATCTTCGGGGGGCCCCCAATACAGCACTGGGGGCCCCACAGCTGCTGCTGCGGGGGCCCGCTCATCAGCGGTGGGGGCCCCCAGGGCCCCAGGCTGCAGCAGCTGAACCAGCTGCACAAAACCAAACACCCCGCGGCAGCAGCAGCAAATGCAGCAGCAGCAGCAGGTGCACCAGCAGCAGCAGCTGATCCAGCAGCTGCGGCAGCAACGCCTGCTGTCGACGCTTCAGCAGCTCATGCCGTAAGTGCAGAACAGCAGCAGCAACAGCAGCAACGGCAGCAGCAGCAACGGCAGCAGCAGCAACGCAAACAACAGCAAAAAACGCAGAAATAGCGGCAACAAAATTGGAAACCGCAGCAACAGCTGCAGCAGCAGCAACAGCAGTAAGTGCGTAAGGGCTACCAACGCAAACCCTACAACAGCCGTAACGAAAATTACAACACAAGCCACCGCAATAGCTGCAGCAGCAGCAACAGCAGTAAAAGCAGCAGCAGCAGCAGCAGCAGCAGCAGCAACAGCAGCAGACCTGCACAAGCTTGGGTAAGAAAATGGCCCCTGCGCAAACCAATACGGCCAAGGGGCTTTCTCTGGGCAGTGGAATTCTTTGGGAGCTTTTGTTGGCTTTACAGCGGCAGCAAATGGGGCAAAGGTTGCTGCAGCGAGCAGCAGCAGCAGCAGCAGCAGCTGCTGCTGCTGCCGCTGCTGCAGCTGCTGCTGCTGGGGTAGAAGCTGCGGAGGCGACGGGAGAATCGGCCATGTCCATCAAGGGAGACGTGCAGCTCCGAGACACAACAGGTGACTCTGCTGCTGCTGCTGCTGCTTCTGCTTCTGCTGCTGCTGCTTCTGCTGCTGCTGCTTCTGCTGCTGCTGCTTCTGCTGCTGCTGCTGCTGCTGCTTCTGCTGCTGCTGCTTCTGCTGCTGCTGTTGCTGCTGCTGCTGCGTGTGCTGCTCCTCCTTGGCACTTGCAGCAGCAGTCCGGGCCGCAGCAGCAGCAGCAAAACGCAGGGAAAGAAAGGCCCCCCAAAATACCCGAGATGCCTGCAGCCTCGGCCTGGGCCTCGGGGCCTACGCTGTTGCTGCTGCTGCTACGCATGCTGCTGCTGCTGCTGGGCTCATCCGCAACAGCAACAGCAGGTGCTGCTGCCTCTGCGGGGGCAAACGAAGCAAATGTTGCAGCAGATGCACCAGCGCCGCTGCGCAGCCCAGCAAAGGGAGTCCCTGAAAAGCAGCAGCAGCAGCAACAGCAGCAG